AAAGGTTTTAATATGGCCACGCTATCACGGTATTTTGGCAGGTATGTTGCTTCTATTTTTGATCCGTATAATGTCCAATATCGATGCAAGGTGATCACAAACTCACTTTTATTTATATTGTCAACATAAACGGCGTAACTGGAAATTAACGTTGTTGGTAAATCTATATCTATACGTATAATAACATTGTAACCAAGCCGAATCTGTACATTAAATATTTTTTGGAAAATCTTATTGAAATAGACATTATTTTCGATACAGAGACCGAATCTATACTTTTCAGAATTTTTGTCTGTCTGTCTTTCTGTCTGTTACCGCATCACAGAAACACCAATGGTAGGATTTTGATGGTATGGTGATAGCTGGTTTTTCGGGTCAACATATAGGATACTTTTTACCGCGGGAAAATATCTCATTTCTGAGAAAAAACACAAAAACTGCAATGTAAGAGTACTTATACTAATATGCAAAACCTAAGAATTTGGTTTTTGGTCATCTGAACGCGGGCGGAGCCGCGGAAAAGGCTAGTTTTGCTATATGAGTATAGAAAAATTTTCAGGTCATGCAATGTCATGGGCAATTTTCGCGAAATATCTTGATTTTTTATATTGTTTAAATTATAGAATTTTAGGTTAACTTTGAACACATAAAATGAAAAAAAAATAAAAGGCGATTATTACGGTTTAACTTCAGAGAAATGTACTAACTTGTAGTATCGTCATAGGTATATTTTTAAAGGAAACCACTTTTTTCTTTACCATTTATAAATATTACAGGCGAATCCTCTGATATAAAATTCCTCTTTTATGGGAGCAATTTTACAACTTTTTAGATTTTTGTCCTATAATCGTTTGTCTCATGAACGCTACAACGGAAAAGCTTAGACGCGAATAGCTTTTTAAACTCGCATTTTATGTGCGACGTTTCAGTCATATCTATACATATAATAAAATTCTGAGTGGAATCTGTACATTAAATATTAGTTGGCAAATCTTATTGAAATAGTCATTATTATCGATACAAAGGCCGAATCTATAGTTTTGATAATGTCTGTCTGTCCGTCGGTTACGCAATCCCGAGAAAACCACTAGACAGATTTTGATGAAATGGTATGATGATAGCTGGTTATACGAGTTAACATATAGGATACTTTTTACTGTGGGAAAATATCTCATCTCTGAGAAATCTATACAAAACCTTAAAACGTATCTCTCTCTATATCTAGTGGAAAAGATTCAACAAGAATATTATTACATGTTTTAATGTATTTACTGCGTAAAATTTTACACTCTGTTAAATTTTCAAATAACTACTAAATTGGATTATTTCCTTTGCGTTATATTATTAAAGATATACCTATAAAGGGCTATCTCATTTCCCATGGGAAATCTTTACTTTCTAAAAGACATAAGGGATGTTTAATATTAACTCGAGTATGAAGAAATAATTCTGCCAACAATTAGTTTTCACATTATATTTGATTATAAGCATTTTCTTATATATACGAATTGTATTTTCTCGTATTCTATTTAATATACTCTGTGAGAAGTTTATTTTTTAGATAATAATAGGCTTTGCCAAAAATTCATTAATCTTTAGGATGAGCTTCATCTAGATTCTTCGCCTTTAAATGGCTATTAAAGGTATTTAGACAAATATATTTTTGTATTTAATATAGTAAAGAAAAGGAATTTAACCGACTTCAAACAAAAGCACTAAAACAGCTTTTCCTTTTAATTTAGTACTTACTTTAAAAAAAAACGTTAAAAAAGTATGAAGTAGATGTAATAAAATGATCTGTGGGTTTTTAGCAGTGTCTGATATAGAATTAAATAAAGAACAACAATAAAAGTAATATTTTTTTAATATACAGATTAAAATTGCCCCATGTTTGAAAAAACCGTGAATTGCACTTTAGATAAACGTTAATTCTCATTGCAGATAGTGAGCTGGGCCAAAGAAAAGCTTGTAGTTAATTTTATTTTTATAGACTAAGAGTTAGCTATCGTATTCATATTCTTGCTAAATCTATACTAATATTATAGAGGTAAAGTTTGTAGATTTGTGACGTTGTAGGGGATAATCTCTGGATCTACTGAACCGATTTAGATGGAATTTGGTAAGTAGATATTTTGAGACCCTGGGAAGGATATATGATACTTTTTATCCCGAAAATCATCCCTTAAGGGGATAAAAATGGGGATAAAAGTTTGTATAGGGAAACAAGCTAGGGATGAATCCGAGTGAAGCGAGGGTGAGTCGCTAGTATCTGAATTAAAATACCAAATATGAATACGGTCATTTTTTTCCACAATTATTTAGGACACCATTATTTTAGAGTCTATAGTAAATGGCAACATTTTAACACAAATTAAACCTAAAGTTTTAAAATAACAAATTTTAAATTACAACGTTATTATGTAAAAAATATGTGAGCATTTTCTTGTATTTATTCGGATATTTTGCATATTTAATATTAGGTAGTGTTCGCCTAGTGGTCGAAACTCGACCATAATCATTGTTTAAAATTTGAGGAAAATTTGAATACAATCTACCTATTCATATTAAAAAAATAACGTTTCCAATTTTTTTTAATAGATAACACTAAAGTTCGTCAATAGCTAAAAAAAAACAAAAATTGGTTAACAGACAGTGAAGAACAAGGCACTAAACTATTTTGTCTTTGCCTATTTATATTTATATTAAAAGACATTAAGGTGACAGTAGAACTATTCAATGGCTACTAAAAACCTTTAATTTGGACTAAACTCTTAATTGATTTGTTTTAGCAAGTTGTCATTACAATTTACAGTTACCCAAAATATTTGTGTTTAATTTTTGCTAATCGAACCTATAGCTCTCGGTCTATACGAGTAACATTAGAACATATTGCTAATGGTCCACAGGTTCTATTACATATAACTACTTCAAACACTAAATGGAGTCAAAGGGTATTCAGCTCTTAAGTAATTAGTTTTAGTACTAATTTACCAGCTGGTATGGGAATAGATTACATCTACGTGTGCGAGGCAAACTGTTTGTTTTCCTTTGTTACGTGTGATAGGTAATTAAAATTAAAATTCAAAGATGTATTTAATATAGGTATCCATACTAATATTATAAATATGAAAGTGTGTTTGTTTGTTTGTCTTTTCATTCATTTCTAAATAATAAATATCGGAAATATTTATTCCTAATCTTCTTTTAATGACCCAGTAAATTGTACAGACTCATCCTAATCAATTATAGTCCATCAATCAATCGGTTATCAATATATTTACAAGAAATATGTGAAGCTTTGGGACGGAATGTCTTCTATTAGTCGCTTTCTCAAATAAGACTAAAATTGTGTATTGAATCCTACTTCTACACATATAATAAAATTCTGATTCGAATCTGTACATTAAATATTTTTTGGAAAATCTTATTGAAATAGACATTTTTATCGATACAGAGGTCGAATCTATAGTTTTTAGATTTTTTGTCTGTCTGTTACCGCATCACGGAAAAACCATTGGATGGATTTTGGTAAAATTTGGTATGGTGATAGCTATATATATCCGGTTCAACATATAGTTAGGATACTTTTTATTGCTGGAAAATATCTCATCTCTGAGAAATCTATACTAAACTTTAAAACGCAACTAGGGACGTACCCGAGCGAAGCGAGGTTGAGTCGCTAGTTTTATACAATTAACAAATAGTGCATAGAGCACGTAATATATCAAAATAAATATTATTATTATAAAGATTTTATAATATTAAATAAATGAAAATGGTAGAAGTTTACTGTATGGGATTTAATAATGTACCTAATTATAAATCGACTTTTTTTCGTACAAATGGCCAAGGCAATATAGTTTCCGATATAGATTCCAATAACTTGATTGAGGTGTTCAGAGATCGATAATGACTTATAAGAAATTGTCAAAGTGCTACGGGCTACTGGTAAAGCAAATAGGATATAGCTTCCTTTGTACATCAAAGTGAATTTAATTATATAACTTAATTTTACATTTTACCCTAAAATCAAAACTTTCAATGAGACGACAAATTTAATAAAAACTTTATTTTAAAGTTCCAACTAGTTTTTAATTTTCTGTATCCACAAGGTACCGAATCCTATTAGCCAGAATCCTTTGAATTTTAGGCCGAACACTGGTTTTTCTATAACGTATTAGTCAGACGGTCTACCTAAATGCAATTACCAAACGTTTATTTTATATAACACTAAAAGGTACCCTATTAGTGAACTTATGCGACCTAAAAGAAGTACACCCAATATTGAATTACGTGTGCCTTTCCCAATCTCAGCTCTGAAAATGTAATTTCGAACAATAAATAAGTTTTACGTAGCGAGTATTTTGTTTGATTAATTTTATTAATAAAACAGAAACCTCGTATATCTACTACACAAATAAAAAAATAGAATTGTTATATATTTATTGAAGTGAAACTTCTTTAGGTGTGGTAGGGAAAAAATGGTGTTACGTTTTTGTAACGGAAACTTTGTTACGTTATAAATAAGATAAATAGTCAATTAAAAATTATTTTAACTATTATATGAATATTCCAAAGAAAAATTTAATAAAAACAGATATTTTTAAAAAAAAATACTTCCCTCATTTATTTTCAAATTATCCATGGAATCATATCAAATGAATATCGTTAAAAAATATTTACTTGAAACATTTTTTATATATTATAAATATATTTTATTTCACTTAAAAATTTGCATTCCTGTACTATCATTTATTTTATTGCAGTAAATAATTTATTGAATCATTAAAACATTTCATTGAAAATTAGATTTTATCTTAACACCATCTGTACTATGTGAATAGTAAAATATTGTTTTACTTTTTAAATTGATAAAAAATATTTTAGTATCTCTCGTATCCTAATTATTGAAAAGTTTAAAACATAAATTTAATTTCATAAAAGTACTGATAACTCATAACTATATCATATTCAGATAATTATCAATATTAATAAACCTACATTAATTCTTGAGGATCTATAGTTAGCTCCAGAAACACTTCAACTTCATTCATCAACTTTATAAATAAATCTTCAGGTGCAACCCACAATTCCTTACCAATATCTTTGAAGACCTGACCAATGTGTTTATTAAGTCGGATATCTGATTTTGCCCAGTCATAAAAGCGTTGAAAAAAAATACCAAAAGACTCTTTGTTTTCACTATAGAAATGATCCATATCTCTGCCCTCCCGAACCTAAAGTGCAGTAACAGCAAAAACACGAATTCGAGAAAAACGCGCCTAGCAGATCTGACAAAATGCCATCAACTAAAATTGCATCATAAGCTAATTTATTATTTTTATTAGTTTTAATCGATTCGAGTCGAAGATCGATTACTTTTTTGACTGTCGATAGTATTTCTTTAGTTGGCATTTCACTAGAATAGGCCATGTCATTTAAAATAACTTGTAATTCGTGTGCTATTATTTGATTTATATGTGAATAGAAGCTTGTCTCAAAAAGAGCTTCATAAAAGTATCGAATAAAAGAACGTACTTTCTCGTCCGGCATATCTTTGAGCACTTCTAGCAGATTTTTTAAGGATTTGGTAATTTTATAAGACGTAATACAAAATTTATGCTCAATACATAGCTTTCTATTATATTCTAGTTCAACCATTGCAATCGCAATAATTATTTTGTGATTCAATGCTCTTTTAATCTTCTTTATTTCTATTGGATCGATTTGTAAATCTTCTGATAAGACTACGGAGGACATTTCTTGAAATTTTGCGCAAATTTTTTTAATCGTGCTCATCCAATAATAAGTTTCTTTTTTCTCAGTTATTTCAATGTTAGTTTCTTCAAGGATATATCTAATGACTACTAAATAGTGTTTTAAATGTTCTTCAAACATAAATATTTTAAATCTGTCTTTTAAGCTGTTGCTTAGGATAGTTTCCATAGATTTTGATAAGACGATGATAAATTCATCGATAAATTTTCTTGATGATAAGCAAAAGTCAAGATCACGACATAACGTAGCAGTTCTAACAATGTCTGTTATAGAGTCTTCATCAGCAATAGGTCCCATGAATCTTCGACCGTTTGGGTAAGGTTTTCCAAATAATTCTGATAGAGAACTCATCACTCCTTTACCCAAAGATAAAGTACCTTCTAAATTTACTTTTAAGCTATTTGAAGGACATATAATTACTGTAAAATTAAATACTGAGTATTAATAATGTAAAAAATTGTATTACAGTTTTGTCAAAAACTCTTTCCTACTGACTTTTTACCTGAAGTGAAGATCATATGAAATATTAGATTTAACATTATTTTATAGCTTTTCTTTTATTTCGCCATCTATTTACTAACATTACGATATTGGGTTTATAACCCACTATAAAATATAAGGAAATGTTATTTTACAAGTAAAAGTAATAAAAATGTACTTAGGTTATATATATATATTGTAAGTTGATAACTATAAACCATAAACAAGCATGATGTTTTAAATAAAACTATCGGAGAGAGAGACTCTCCCGTGACCATGATTGCTGTAAAGCATTCGAAACGTCGGGAACCAAAAATCCAAATAATCCGCGAAAAAAATCCAAAAAAGATAGTTTTATTTAAAATGCAAATATTCGCGTAAATCTAAGAAAGTATTAAGCATGATGTTATAAGCTAGGTACCTATCCGATCTTGTTTTGTGCAAGCGTGTCTTTTTGTAATGACAGATCCCACATGTAGGTATCATTTTATTTAGTTAGGTACCGTACGTACGTACCAATATAAATAATCATAATTTTAAATTTAATATGTGATGCTATCATGAGACATTTAATTTATTTTGTTTGAACATACGTAATTTGTTACGTTAAAAGTAGTTTAAATGTATTCAAATATTCGTATTAATGACTGCAGAAAAAAAAATCATAATATTTTTATGAAAAACAACTACTTATCCGTATTATTACTCATTAATATTTCCTGGTTATGGAATCCAAGAAAAATCAATTCTCGGAACTAGCAATACTGCGTCGTTCGTCATCGTCTGTCTGGAAAACAGATTTCTTCCACTTCCTTCAGTTTCAGTCCAAGGCTGGTTTGTGTTAGTTGTTACTGTGACTCACATTATAAGCAAAGTGTTGTTATTCAATTTTTAGTGAAACCTGGCGAAAGACCTACAAAAATCCTTCGAAAATTGCAGGTGGTGTATGGAGACAGGTAAATGTTGTGTAAAACACGTGTGTTTGAATGGAAGAAGCGCTTCAAGGAGAGGCGTGAATCAGTTGAAGACGATCCACGTGGAGGAGCGTCTGTAACCTCTCGTACCGACGCGAATGTATATTGTTTGCTCGCGGTGATCACATCTGACCAGCGCGGCGCCTAAGCAGTCGTGCGTTGTCTGACGAGTTAAATATCAACAAAGAAACCGCCCATAGGAACTGACACGAAGATTTGAACATACGAAAATTTGCGCAAAGATGGTGCCAAAAGTTCGCTCATTGTGCAAGAGTTTTAGGTGAAAAAAAAGGCATTCCAACGATGCCACACCCACCCTAAAGCCTCGTTTTTACCCCTTGCGACTTTTCTTATTTCCCAAGATGAAGTCACACCTTAAGGGAACTCATCATGGTGGTGTAGAGGCGATCAAAGGAGCTATTACCGTGGTGCTGAATGAGATGACTTCAGGGGATTACCAAGGTTGCTTTGAATCGTAAGAGCAACGCTAGAATCTTTGTCTAAAGTTATAGGAAGACTATTATGAAGCTAGATTCGAATTATAAATTCGAAAATTCAACTTCGAATGTTTCAACTACAGCAACCCTCCGCGCAACCGAGCACATGGAAAAGTGCGGCTTTGGCGTGATATTACGCGCAACGGATACTAACTCAGTAGTCAGTAGGAAAAAATATAAGAAGTTTCTTCAGTATTTTTTTATATTATATTTATATCATTATATATTTATTTAATAATATTTATTATATAATTAATAATATTTATTTTTATATATTTATAAGTTTAATAGATTATCTGTATTTTTTTTTTGATAATTATTATTTTTAACCTATATATTTTATATAATCTGTGACATTTACTGACGTTTATGTCAATCCTCGCATCTATCTACCTTTTTGTTTCGGCCATTTTTGCCGAAAGGTTGGTGTTCTTTTTCGGTCACGTATCTGTTCGTGGCCGTTAGATCACTTTATTAAAGTTCATTCAAGATGGTGCAGAAGAAGGTAAAAACCATGTGCGTTTATAATAAATCTTTATTTTTGTTCGGGAATTTAGGAAAAAACAGTGAATTAAAATATCAATCGTAAGTGAGGATCTTCAATGTTGTTTTTGGTTTAATAATACATAAACAACATCTAATTTTCGAACGTATTTTATATTTATTCTTTTTACAACTGTAAACGATTAATTAAACTTAATATTTCATTCTAATAACATGAAAATAGTAGGATCGTCTAAAACTACATAACCTCCAAAGTACCATGATGTGAATTACAAAATGAATGACTATGTTTACTTCTTTATTATCACCAAGATCGCTGATATTATATATCAAAAAGACTGATGTAGTCGATTGAAACATTCAAGTAATAAATCGATATTATTTTTTAGCCTAAGAAGAAGGTTGGAAAGAAGGTAGCGGCCGCTCCATTGGTCGTGAAGAAAGTTGAACCTAAAAAGGTTGTAAACCCTCTATTTGAGAAGAGGACAAAGAACTTTGCTATTGGTAAGTGTAGTTTGATTAAATTTAATTGTTATATTTTTTGTTTATATTGTGACCAGAATGATGTAAAACTTTTACCTGAACTACCATGTGGTTAAAATTTAACGAGCTTTTTAACACTGATTGGTCACATGTATTTTACTTTATACTATTGTCTAATTAATAGTTTTGATGTGGCAAGGTAAGATAATTCCTAACTTGCATTACCTACATTGATACTTTGCACAGAACAAATCAAGTGTACTGGTGAACTGGTATACTAAAGCTGAGCCTAGAAATCACTTGAACTGTTGAATTAAGTTTGTGAAAGTTAATTAGTAACTATATTAATACATGTAGTACCTATGGAATAGACAATATATTAGGTAGTATATATTGATGACGTTGTTCACCATACTAATTTTCTTCTCCCTACTCACCCCCTAAGGGAATGATTTCCAGGATAAAAACTATCCTATGTCCTTCCCAGAGTCCCAAATTATGTTTATACCAAATTTCATCTAAATCAGTTTAGTGGATTTTTAGTTTATCTGTTACAAACAAAAATACAATTTTTTTACTCTTTATGATATTAGTATAGACAAATTAGTAGTGATTATAGAAAACTTCAATTTTTATATAAATTATCATGTTATAACTACCATAATTAATATGTCCCATAGTCATAAAAATCAGAATTTCCCAGGTCAGGATATCCAGCCAACTCGTGACTTATCTCGCTTTGTGAGATGGCCCAAGTACATCCGCATTCAGCGCCAAAAGGCTGTGCTCCAACGCCGCCTAAAGGTGCCACCACCAATCAACCAGTTCACTCAAACTTTGGATAAGACCACAGGTTTGTTTTAAAATATTTAATTTAAATTTAAAAGTTAGATTTTCTACTGGGAAATACATATGTATAAAGTTCATAAGTACATTAAGTTATTATGTGGTCGAATAGGTGTAATGAAATAATATGTAAGCATAATGGCTTTAAGATATATATTATATGTAGAAAGCAAATAAAATTTGAAGGAATTATAAAATAACATGTAAAGAAAGAGGTAGCTCAGTAGTAACACACCACACTTACATGGGAAACTGAGTCAAATGGGTTCATATCCCAGGTGTCACACCTCTGATATTTTCATATTAAATCATTTTCAACATGAGTACCACTTGTCTTATGGTGAAGAAAAACATTGTGAGGAAACCTGCATGTCTGAGCGAACCTAGCAAGTTTTTGAAAGACATGTGAAGTCATCAAAACATGCACTTACTTGGCCAGCACGGTGAGCTATGGTCTATTCCCCTTTATATTGAAGGAAGGCCTGTGCCCAGCAGTGGGATGTTAAAAAGGGCTAAATATAATATAAGTATTACATTACAGTTTTTTTAAGTTATTTACCATGATGATCTCCAAATGCAACTATGAATCACTATGATTATCAAAAACAATACGAGCTTTTTAACTCTGAATTAACATTCATGACATAAGTTCTATGTATCAAATGGAAATCTTTTGTTCATTCAGTCATATTTTATTTCAGCAAAGGGTCTGTTCAAGATCCTTGAGAAATACAGACCGGAAACTGAAGCAGTCAGGAAGGAACGCCTGAGGAAAGCTGCTGAAGCCAAGGTATGTGCCTATTTAAATTGTAAAGTAAAAACTCTTCAATAGTGTATAATTAAGGAGTATGTCCATGTGGGTTTCTCTTATCTATCTTGCAAAAGAACATTTAATTTGATAGTACATTAGTTTTACCTGGAAAGTTTGGTGGTGTGGAAATGAGTTTTTTTAACCAAAATGTGCGTTGAGTTGACTTTGCAGTGCTCTATGGTATAATTTGTATTCATGTATAAAAAAAAGGTTATTTACATAAATTATAGGATTTTTTCTCTAGTGTAATATATTAGTTAACTATTTTCATCGTTACATGAAGTAGGAAGAGAGAAGTTGTCAAAAAACTGTTTGTAGACACTATTTTTCCAATATGGCAGCGCGAATGGCAAAGATACAAGGTGGCAAAGTAGTTATTCAGAAAGAGCCTGTCGAAATCTATAAAATCACTTATTCAAAACTCTTAGGAACTTTCCAGGTAACCTAGTTTTTGTGCACCAAATTACTAACTACCATGTTGTTTGTCTATATACTTCTTGTTTTTTATTTTTAAATTTAGTAACTCTTGCATTATAGTTTATGAGGAACATGGATTAATAAATGATTTTTAAACGTTTTTAAATGATGCATAAAACACATTCTGAGTGCCATGACGACCTTTTCCACCAAGATCTCTGATGAACTCATATAAAGTGTTTAAAGTTATCCTCTTTACTCCCATATATTCAAAATAGATGTTTTTTACCAGGTTGCTAAAAAAGAGGAGCCTCCAGCGAAGAGGCCCAACACTGTTCGCTCTGGAACCAACACTGTGACCAAGCTGGTTGAGAAGAAGAAGGCCCAGCTTGTTGTCATCGCTCACGATGTTGACCCCATTGAGGTAATTTAAAAAAAATTAATACTAAGTTAAACACATTTTGAAATTTTTAAATTTTATTATGGTATTTTCTTAGATTTATGTGAAATTATATACAATTATCTATTTCTAATTTTAAACCAATAATTTTAGCTCCATTTTAAGATCAATTAGGGTTTCGATGTAAATTAAGATACATTTTCTCAAAGATGTCAGAAGGCATAAGAATTAGTAGAACTTAGTGTTCTTCTCTAACAATTAATGTAGGTGTTCAAAACACTAGTTCACTACCAAACTTACAATATTCATATTTCAACGCATATGACGCAGTTAAATTGTAAAAAACCGTGAAATGTGATTAGGGAAATTGCAATATACCTGAAATTGCCCCTGTATATTGTAAGAAAAAGAGATTGACAAAATTTCGCTAGTGGTATTATAATTTAACGGTTTTTACAATTTTCCTGCGACATATTTAAGTAAAAATTGATTTGCTAGAATTGAGTAGAATTAGAGAGAAGTTTGATCCACACTTATATATTTAAACAACATTGGTCTGATTAAAAGGATAGTTTATCCCCATCTATCATTTCTTTGATCAAAATATAAATTGCATTTAAATGAAAAGAAAATGGAGATATCTGTATACATAAAAGTAAGAAATTCTTTTTGTTGGTTAGTGCATCACCCGAGAATGACTGGAAGTGATATAGCTATTTTATTGAAATTCTAAAAAGATTTTACATTTATCAAAAAAAAAAATTAATAAAGTTGCCCAAAGTATTGGCAAATTGAGGAAAAATGAAAGTGCATTTTATTACAAGTTTTTTACTTTTCAATGTTTTGTAGGAGAAGCTGGGTTGTACTATATAAAGATTCTTGTCACTAACTTAAAAAAAATTGACTATGTACACATTGCTATGATGTTAGAATTTCTTCACCTGAGGCTGTGATTGTTAATAATAATCATATGCTGCATGAAGACCGTTGACTCTGAGCTATCAATACACACAATAAAAAATAGTAACCGGAAACATATTTAAAAATTAAATATTTCTGTTGGTTACAGCTTGTACTCTTCCTCCCAGCACTTTGCCGTAAGATGGGAGTGCCCTACTGTATTGTTAAGGGCAAGTCCCGTTTGGGAGCCCTTGTCCACAGGAAGACTTGCACATGCTTAGCTCTCACACATGTATGTATATATATATTTTTTTGTGCTTTAACTGTTTTTAACATTTTCTGAATATCTGCAGAATACTTTGCTTAATTTTTTTGGTAGCTATAATGAAATTATAGCTTAGATGAAAATTCTCTTAAGAATTAATTTGTATTAATTTATATATATATTTTTTTTTATAGTTGTATATAATTGTTTTATAATTTTCTAATAATAGCATTTAGTCAGAAAATGTTAAAGCTTAAGTTATATTTTATTAAATTAGATTGTTTTTAATATAAGAAAGATGTGCATATAATGATGATGTATTTGCTAACCAAGCGCCGTGAGGAAAACTTTTCTACCACCATTATAGAAATATCTGAATATGCCATCTATCTTTTATAAGTAGGAGTTTGAAATTCATTTTCTTATCATTTTTTGTTTTTTTTTACTGCTAAAAGATTGTGTTTTTTAAAGCAGTATGAACATTGCTAAGCTAATATTAGAGTAGTTGTTTGTTGTTCTGCATATTTTTAACTATATATTTGTATTTTGTGGATTGTTCAATTATTGAATATATTTTAGCTTTGAGAGAGATAATACTCTCTTGAATGTGTATGAGTAAGTAGAAATCAAGTCCACAACAGGACCATAGCAAATGATTTTATATTATTTTAATATGGCTATTGTATTTAGATGTTTATACCTTAGTGGCAGTTAATTATATTTGAGTTGTGCTTTTCTTATACATTAAAAGTCCTACAAAACAAACAAACTTGTAACCAAAACCCTTTCAGGTCGAGTCTGGTGACAGAGCTTCCTTCTCGAAGGTCGTGGAAGCAATCAGGACGAACTTCAACGAGCGTTACGAGGAGTTGCGCAGACACTGGGGTGGTGGTGTCTTGGGTAACAAGTCCAATGCCCGTATCGCCAAGCTTGAAAAGGCAAAGGCGAGAGAACTCGCGCAGAAACAAGGCTAAGCCAATAAATAATTATGTATAATCTGGTGTTTTATTTTGTTGTTTTGCCTTTAATATGAAGATTGTGATTTTATTTTGGTAGTCTTATTGCTGTAGCCTAAAATTTCTTCTGTTTTTGTCTTTTGGGAACAAATAATATTCATTTTCTTTGCCTAGCAATGCAAAAGTTGTCATTTTAATTGAATTTTAAATAAAATGAAAAAAATCCATCCGCGTTATTAGGCTTTAGAATATACTGAGGGCTATAGTGATCGCGACATCTGGCGGGAGAGAAAGGCATTTTTCCTCCATTAAACCCCATCTATCGTTTATTTAGAAAACAAAATAGCCCAAAGTCTAGCAGTAAAGTGCCAACCCAGCGGATACATGGTAAGCAAATACTTTGCCATGTAAATGAATAATTGTATCACGAGATGTCGTTCTATATACTATTTTTTCGCCTTATTAGCAAAGTTTCAATCGTAAATGCACAATGTTTAAATATGTATTAAATTAATAATTATATTATAATTAATTACTATTAATACGAATTGAAAATTAATTATTTAATTCGAAAAAAATAATTGAATTGCGGTGAAAATAAGGTTTTTTCGATGATTACTATTTGAATTTATAGTCATCTTTAGCACGCCCTTCCTCTTGTTGGGCGTGTCCGATATCACATTTTCCTCGACTAAAGTGGTCAAATGAATTTAATGATAATGTTTTATTACTACATACTTATATGAAATCTGATTCAACGTTCAACGTTCTCCACTTTGATAAGAGTACCTGGGCAACCGAGATTCGTTTCGCGTAGGCGTTCGTTCAGCAGATTATCATCCATTATGTATAATCCATACTAATAATATAAATGTGAAAGTGTGTTTGTTTGTCCTTCTTTCACGTCGAAACGGACTGACGGATTGGCGTGATTTTTTGTGTGGAAATAGTAGGAGGGCTGGAGAGTGACGTAGGCACTTTTTAACGCGGGAGATAAGATATCTAATTCCCACGGGAAAACACGTTGTAATACAATCCAAAAAAAAAATTATGATCAGAATTACTTGAATTTTGGTATTAATGCTCTTCAATAAAATGAAATAAGTACTTGTTTTAGCATATGAGGGTAAAATAGGGGATGAAAGTTTGTATGAAACTACCTTTTTAGATATTTTTTGTAGCTTTAGCGCAAGCGAAGCCGCGGGTTCTGCTAGTGTAGGTATAAGTTTCACAAAAATTAACGAACGGGTGCGTTTTTTCATTAAAGACACTGTAGAAAACTTAAAAAGTAAAATCTTACCTGAATATAAAATTTGACCCAAATCATTATAGCCGAGAAACAATATACAAGAATTGCGCATTTATTATTTATTATGTAGATAATTTATTACTTCTAAGTATTTTATAATTTTATTTAATAAATATGAGAAAATTTGAGAAAACAGCGCAATATAATTTATATTTAGATTTTCCACTGGTGTAGAGTAAACTAGCGAGTATACGATCCCTTTGTCATCGGAACTTCTTGCGATGTCAAGAGGAACTATTTCTAGACAAAGGTCTAAGTTTTACGACTATATTATCTTGCTTAGAATAAACGAGAATAAAGTTTTAATAACGTTTGTGTTAAAACCTAAAATACGAAAAAATATCATCGAAAGAAAAGTATTTTTTGACTGACTTAAAAAAAAGGTACACAATTCGTTTGTGTCTGTCTGTCTTTGTAAAGTAATTTTCGTTGGAAGTATTATGAAAGGTCTATTATTTCAATTTTTTTTAGATTTTTCTGACTCATATTTCAAAAGGGGGATTAAATGTTTAAACTTTAAAAGCATATAACTCAAACATGACTTAAAAACATCTCATCAACACTTGAATTTTAAAGACCTGTCCAATGACTTATGTAAACTTAAAAAATATTCATCCCTCAGGAACATGTATAGATTGCCACACCTATTTTTTTATTATTGTAATTTAATTAGAGAATTGTTTAGCGGTTTACGTAAACCACATGCGTACAAAATTAAAAATTAAAACATTTTAGCAATATAGCTCCAATAGTCTTCGGGTGTAATCAGACAGATGGCGACATGGCGAAATTAATTAAATTTTAGCCACTTAGCTACAGAATCCTCAAACAATGTAGAAGCGCAATAGTGTATTCAAATCAATATATAATATGTTAGTGTATCATTTTTAATAAGTTTATTTTTTCACATTTTAAATATCTCTTTAATCTTTAATCTTTTCGGATTACTTTGCGGATTTATTTTGATTTTTGGTTCACGTTTCGAATGCTTTACAGCAATCATGGTCACTGGAGAGACTAAGGTTATAGACGTCTCAAAGGACATTATATACTTAGTTGTTACAATCATCATCAAATGCGACATTTTTTGAAATCTACACTAATATTATAAAGAGGTAAAGTTTGTGAGTTTGTAAGGTTGTAGGGGCTAATCTTTGGATCTACTGAACCAATTTAGATGAAATTTGGTAAGAAGATAGTTTGAGACCCTGGGAAGGAGATAGAATAGTTTTTATTGCTGAAATCATCCCTTAAAGAGGTGAAAATGGGGATGAAAGTTTGTATGTGGAATCAAGCTATAGACGAACCCGAGCGAAGTGAGGGTGAGTCGCTAGTCATTTTATAATTTTGTGTATCATTTTATTATCAAAATAAATTCGCAAAAAATAAATAAATAGTTTTATTAAAATGTTAAATGTTCGCTTACATAAGGAAGTAAAAATATTTCATTACTTTGCATGATATTATGTTACATAATAATAATTATAAAAACGCTTAGTTATCTAATTAGTACAAGTCATTCGCACTCGTATAATTGCTTGTCACGATATTCTCCCCTCGGGATTTTTTTATTACATTGTCAGTCATAGGTCACTCGTGTTCATAATAATATCAGTCACTTAAATTTATTTATATGCACTTAGAATACATATTTTTTGATGGTCTGTTTGTTTGTATTATTTACATTTACAGTGAAATTAGTATGATTGAAAACGCTAGTGTAGGTAAAACTATCGTTTTCCCGCATCTCCATGAAGCGTGATGCTTTCTAATCTTCCTCAATAAATAGGCAAAAAAATGTACCTAGAATAGAAGAGAATTTATCAAATCGTATTTGGTCGTGTATGTGTATTTAAACAATCAAATAAATTATTTAGCTTTATATATTAACTATAGGCTTCCCCTCGCTACGCTCGTGTACATCCCTAAGCATGAATGGTTTAGGAACGCATATAAGATAACCGTCGAAAGAAATTTTTGGGCCAGGAACATTCGTAGGCGTATAATGAATACCTACGAGTCTTACATAGAAGACAAATATACCTATGAGATATAGATTCCATCCTTACTAGAAACAATATACTATAATAAAATACGTTATTTTAAATTTTAACAACACTGTCGATAGAATTATTCAATTTTCCTACACTGAAGTTTAATTATTATTTGATGTGTGTGATGGACTATGGCCTGATTTCTGTCGTATTGAAGGAAGCAAGCAGTGGGGTGGGCCTCCCTTCAATACGACGGATTAAAAAGGGATGAATACACAAATAATTGAAACTTAGCTCACTCAACCAAAATCAGAGTATCATATTAGTTTTTAAATATAGAACAATCTATTAAATAAAAGGCTTTTAATCAAATAAAAGAATTAGCGGCTTTGTATATTTTTAACTAGGTGACATATTTTCACGTTGCGAGTGGCGACCTACTATCGTAAAGCGTATTGTTTGAACTAACTTTAATAAGGCTAACTGTGACCCCTCACCCTTGTTTGTATTGCATTTAACTATATTTATATTACCTTAGTAATAATTGCTCGATTACTCTGCCTCTATATTATATATACACAGATAGACACCTAACCTCAAAATAGATATAAACTCATAAGCTGCTTTTTGATACCTACCATGATTGCTGTAAAGCATTTGAAATGTCGGGAACCGAAAATCAAAATGAATCCAGGATTGATGAGCTCCCTTTAGACAAACTCTGTCGTCATGTCTGGGCACTCAGATAGTGTGATAATTATTATCATAAAAATAAATGCACAGATGTGCATTCGTCCCTAGTTATATTTTAAAGTTTATTACAGATTTCTCAAAGATGACATATTTTCCCGCAGTAAAAAGTATCCTATACCTATGTTGACACGGATAACCAGCTATCATCATCCCAAATTTCATCAAAAACTGTCCAGTGGTTTTCTCGTGATCCGTTTCCAGACAGACAGAAAGATCGGGTATTCAATTCGACTCTATGTTTTTTGTGTATGTTACATACAAGATATCTTCAGAAACTGTGAACCGATTTTGATGATGATTTTTTAATAAATACATTTCAAAAAACTATTACTTTTAAAGTTAAATAATGACGTCTTTTACTGGATAAACAGTCATTGAATGGAGGTTGTAGATTCAACTTTAAGACAGCAAAGGATGCATTGAAATACATAAATACATAAGATAAATATTAAATACATATTTTTACTGATGATAATAAATTTGCTTTCATATATTTTTCCCAGTTAATGTATAATGGAGCTTCCACAAAGCAGTTAAAAAATGTTAGATAGCATAAATTAACATTTTTTAACACGAAATCTTTTTTTAACTTTCAGTAACATGTTACCTAACATCTATACATATAATAAAATTGTAACTAAGCCCAATCTATTTTTTGGAAAATCTTATTGAAATAAACATTATTATCGATACAGAGGAACTTTTTACCCTGGGAAAATATCTCATTTTTGAGATAAAATACAAAAACTGCAATGTAAGAGTATACTAATATGAATTTGGTTTTTGGACATCTGAACGCGGGCGGAGCCGCGGGCAATGCTAATGTTAACTATTTTTAGAGGTTTTCAAAGCCTCCATACTAATAAAACATGTTGTAGAACATTTCCTAACAGTTCCACCACTTCGGATTAGTTTGATTATATAATATTTTGAAATGTTTAATATTTTAATGTTTTGTA